CAGTGCTCATCTTTCACCCCCGAAGAATATTTTTATCTGGAATTGATAGTTTGGCTCCTGCTCATTTCATGGCTCTTCATCACACAGTTGTGTCTTCACCGGTGCATTGGGTTGGCCATCTATGATGCCTGTGCTTAGAAATGTGCAGTGGAAATCTGTTTGGCTAACAAATCAGGTGATTATTTCTTCTTCTCTAACATCCTCACATTTTTTTTTTTTTTGTTTGTTTGGTTTGGATTTTTTTTAACAGCTTGTCAGAAAGCTGACTCTCCAGTGGGCACAGCCTTCCCATCCCATCACCAGCTTCCCCCTACAACATTGCTGATAAATGAAACTCGGTGCTGGGTGCTTATGGTTCTGCTGGGATGACTGACCTGAGCACACTCCCTTTTATGAATGAGGACAAAGAGAAGATTTAGTGGAAGTCACCAGACTCACATTTCTTCCCAGGTTTTACCAATAGCTGTTAAATGCACGTGGGGCATGCTGCTGGTCATGAACCCTGAGGGCCGGGCCTTGGCTGCAAAGCTCCCTAAAGGAGGAATTTTCCCACTACTAATCTTTTTGGCACAGAACTTGGCCTCTCTCGATGCAATTGTTAGTTTTATCCATTGCTGAATGCTCTGCAGCACAAGCTGGGTGGTCCTTAAGATGTTGCATACAATTAACGTGGGCTGCCCCGGGGGGAGGAGAGGTATTTTCAGGGAGGAACGTGCGAGTGCGGGGCCAGCCAAATTCCTCTGAAGCTGCTACAGCAGCAATAAGGGAGATGAAGCCTCCCCGTGTGTCCTCACATGGCTTGATGGAGGTGAACTGGAAGGGGACGTCTTGTTCAGAGGCCCACATTTGCCTGACCTGTGGTCTTTCATCCCGAGAAAGTGAGATGTGGGGCTGTCAGTCCTGTCAGGATGGCCTTGGGCAAACAGTCTTATTGGGCTGGTCTTGTCAGAAGTGGACGTGATGGTTTTGACCTCAAAGTCCCCATCTGAGAAGCCAGTGTGATGACCCAGGAATTTAGGGCTGGATATGAAGGTATTTACTCTCTGCTGGGGAATACCACTACGGCCATTGCTCCCTCCAGCCTGCTTTAGAGAAGCAAGCTCTTCCAACCAAAATTTGGAGGGCTTTGGCAAATGAGTGCTGAGCAAACCCACCTGCCATGGGCAGAGCTGAGCCCTCACTTTCTGAACCCAACTCTTATCATGGAAAGGTGCCACCAGCCTCACATCTTGTTGAAAGCCCCACGTCTCCTTCTTTAAAGGAGAATTAAGGTTGGAAATTATCTTCAGCAAGGGACTGCTGTTTTTTCCAACTTCCCTTCTCTCTTCCCTTCTTTTCTTCTTTTTTTTTTTTTTTTCCCTACTACTGAAAACATTTTACCAACAACTGATTAAGTTTTGCAGCATCCCACGGCAGCTGTAAACAGTAATAGATTACTGCTCGATTTCCTTCTTTGTTTCCTCAGTCTAAAAAAAACTCAGCTAGTCAGAAGCAAACCAGGAGGAGCAGACAGGTTAATGAAACATGTAATTGAAAAAGAAGGGAAAAAATAAAACCTCCATTTGCGTGAAAAGTTAGGGAAGTCCCCATGTGCTGGGAGATGTATTAGTGGCAGGCAGGAAAAATCACCCCAGGTGTTCGGTGGCTCCTCAGGGGATGTGGCAGCTCTCTCCAGCCTGGCCCAGCACCACTGGCAGCACCAACCTGTCCTGCTGGAGATGTTGCCTTGCTATTTATAGCATTTTTTTCCTTCTTTTCCTTCCATATAATTTTCTATCTCTCCAACAGAAATTGAAAAAAAAGGAGGGGGAAAGGGGATTTGAGGCCTTCCACATCCATCTCAGCTGTGACGGGCACAGTTAAGATGTCCCAGCAGTGGGCAAACAGGGATTTTTGGTCAACCTTTAACTCTACACCCCAAAATGACAATCCCAGAGGCAACGTTAACTCTTTCAGTGCTTCCTCTAGTGAGAGAAATGACTGGCCTACCCTTTTTAAGCAGAAATATGGCAAGTTAACACCAGATCCACAGCCCAGCCCTAGCACTGGGTGCCTTGCTCTGTCCCAGGAGGAGAGCAGCTAGGAGCTGAGCTCAAGGCCTTCCCTCCCTGGTGTCTCACTTGTGTTGAGATGAAGAATTTAAAAACCTCTCTCTTGCCAATGCGTTTTGCCTGGCCAGCAAAGCATAAACATTTCTTAGTCATTCAGCACCTTGTTAAGCACGAAGGCGAGCAGGGAGGTTTGGGGAGCTTGTGTGGGCCTGGGTGGAAGAATGTGAGAGGGAAAAAATAATTAAAAAAAAAAAAAAAAAAAGGTGGAAAACACCCCAGATCCAGGAAGGATGAAGAGCTTGGAAAGGCTTCTGCAGGTGGGGGAGGACTGGGTTAAGCAGATTTAGTCTGTTTCATTTAGTGAGGAGCAGAGTAAGAGGTGCCCTGATGGGGTTTATGAAATGGTGAGCAGAGGTCAGGCAACCACTCCTACTGACCAGCTCATACATTTTACTGAAAGCCTGTGCTACTCGAAGGGAGGAGGAAATATGAAATAAAATGTGTAAGGTGGGAAATAAACCTGTTTTGCAAATATGTGCCCGTGCTCCAGCTGCTCCTGCTGGGTCTCCCTCCTTGGGGTGTAGGAGCTGGTGTGTGCGCTTTGCCCTGCTAACGATGCTACCTTGATCCCTGCCTATTCCCCTACTGACTCTGGGGACCCTTTGCCACACTCTTCAGCTTTGTTTTGATCTTCTCCAATAAGAAAAGAAAATAAACTTGTGCCTCTCATCCACTGAAGCTGCTTGCTGTATTGGGGACGAGAGATGGGTTTCTCCACCTCATCCCAAATGAAGGCTTTGCTGCTTGTTGCTCTAAGATTCGTATCGTGGCATCTGCCTAATGAGGGCTCCCTGGGGAGGGATATTTAAAACAAATGAACAGGAGCTTCTTGAAAGCGGTTGTTTGAGTAGTGGGTTGGGGCAGCAGCTCTGGGAGCAGAGCACAGCTGTGGAAATGGGACGGGGAGACAGGGCAGAGGAGCCACAGTGCCATGCTGAGCTGTACTGTGCCAAATTAGGTGTCTATATCTAGTCTATAACTATATCTGGATCTATATCTGGACCTATACATCTTTATCTATATCTATCTATATATATACCTATATCTATGTCATCTATCTATATATCTCTATCTAATCTATAATCTACATCTATATCTATTTTTCTATCTATAAACTGCAGGAAATTGGCACTGCTAAGACCATTCAGGTGGAGTTAAACTAAGCGTGGTATGGCCTGTCATATAATATCTTCTTACAAAAGCTAAGCATAAATCATTTTGATGGAAGTATTTTAACCACCCGGGCCCGTTGTTCCAACACTGTGTTTAATCGAGTTCTGGAAGTAACTAACTCAGCTGTGTTTCATCTCCATCCTTTGAAAAGTTTTGACCTAGTTTTGTCAGGAGCAGAAGTGAGACGACAGGTCTGTCTGTGGACAAATGTGCTCTTCACTAGGTCAGTTGTTCACCAGAAAACACCAGGAAAAATCTTGTGCTATAAAACCAAAAATTCTTTTCCTCAGTGATAAATTTGTGGGGCTGAGTTTTGTCTTCTCAACATGCCTGGTACCTACTCTTTGGGGCAAATGTTGGATTTGAATGACTCAACCATCAGTATCCTTCCATCTTCAGTATTAAAAGAATGTGTTGGGAGAAGATGGATGCACGTTTTTATAATGACCCTTATTTTGTTTAAAAACAAGAAGCATTTGCCAAGCGGTATTTGTTATGGCAAAACTTTAAAAATAAATAATTTTTTAAAAAGGGAAAAAGGAAGAAAGATATGTAACTGAGCCTCTGAAACCTCAAAAAAGTTGTGGGATTGTTTTTGGCAGGAAATGAAAAAAAATTCCTTTTCCTTGATATTTTTCTCTTTCTTTTATATTTTACTTTATTTTTTCTGAAGCCGATGTAATTTCCTGACTACCTCTAATCTAAGCAGAATAATCAAAAGGGAACGAAGACAAACTGGGATAGCTCCTTCCTGTAAGGAAATGATTTCCAAGCTTTATCTGAATGCACTATAGCTCTGTGTGCCTTATTGATGTCCTTCCAAAATAAGATGAAGTACTATTTTGCAAAGGTCCTTGTTCCAGAGAGGGATGGGAATGGAGGAAAGAGAAATAATGGGGTTATATGCAGACATACATAAGGGTATATAAGACCCAAACCTGGAGACTAGCTAGGGAGAGAAAGCCCTGATGTAATTTCCTTTGTTTGACTGCGCATTGATATAATCCAAGTATTTTTTTATTTTTCACATCATACCCTGGCTTGTATGTTTGGGAGTATGATGCTCAGAGCAATTGCTCTTATTAGCCTATTAATATGGCTGGCTCTTCCCTTAAAGGCAAAATTGTGGGAGTAATTAAAGCTTGCTCAGTTTGCAAAGGGAAAAGGGATTGCAGCTTGCAAAACAGGCTGAAACATCAACAGCAGTTACTGGAAGGAGAGCCAAGCAAAAGAAGGAAATGCTTACCCCCAAAACTGCTCTTCTCTGGGCCATCCTTCCAAAAGGATGCAAAACTTTGGCCTCCGAGACAGCTATAGAGAGCTGCTGTGGTTTAGTTTGGTCGGAAATTAGGTTTCAGAAAGGATTTGGGCTCAGCCTTATAACGTCGTTGAAAAATGGCCTTAGACTGGACGATGACAGCTTTTGCTAGTGGTACTTGTGCTTCTTGGCTCAGAGCAGGACTGCAGCAGGAAAATGTTGGAAGATCTGTTGCTTTCTTAAGTCCTCAGCCACATCTGAAGTGGTATTATGAAACTCATCTGATCTGGGTTCCCACATTAAAACAGGAGTCAATTGATCCAGTTTCAGGGCATCTAATCCAAACCACAGCTCAGTTTTTTAAGAAGATTGGATTTGTAGCTCTAGTTTTAGGGCCGCTTATGATAGGAAAACGGCTTTTACTTTGGATGACCCCCAGGATTTTCTCTATCTTCCAGGCTGCTCGTTTGAAGGATTGTGCATAGCGTAGAGCTGGGGGAAGTCCTGGCATCTCAACTCCTAGGTTTGGTCTGCATAGTCCAATTGCTTCTGCTTTCAGCTGAGTCAAACTCACTGTTTAGGGGAAAGTGGAAAAGGTTGTGTGTGTTTTTTGGAAAGTCAGAGCAACCCGCATGTGCACAAAGACTGTCTCCTATTGACTTGGCAAAGAAGCCCCATGCTCGCAAGGGTCCGCAGCCTACTGCAAACACCCCTCCAGCACCCCTTATTCAAAATCTGCTTCTCGTTGTCATTTCTAGCCTCAGAAATTTCCCCCTGAGTCCTGGCAGGATCTAACGAAAAGAAAACGTAATACTCATATAACTTCTCAACAACATGGGTTTTGCTCAGTTCCTTGCTGTTGTTATATGATAAAGAGCAAACACTTGAGAAATGTTTATTTTAATGCCCTTGTGGAACCACGTTCCTATCCCTGGAAAAAGCCGGCAAAAATTAATGTATGTTGCTCACGTGTAAGTACAAACAGGCTTATTTAAACAGAATGTTCAGTATTGGTGGATGCTGTGGAAAAATGGCATTTCGTAACAGAGTGATTTGACTTGTAAAACAGCCACAAAACATTGAAAACCGTTCTGGTGTTTGCAGGGGGGAAACACAGGCTTTGGACACATTTTTATTTTTTTCCTTCTTTTGCCAGTATTCAAAACTTAGTGATGTATTTATGTTTGCCATATTGTGGGATTGTCTTCAGAGCCTTTAAAAAAGACGAAAAAAGAAAAAGGGTCCTATGTTTCCCAGATATGGGACCTCAGCTTTCTAGTTTAAACCAGGGTCTCAAAGTGGCAGCTTTTCACGGGAACATGTGAAAACCTTCTTCCAACAGAGAAAATGAGGGCAGTTATCAGTCCTGGGCCCTCTGATACGGCACAAAGAGGTACTGTGAGCAGGGTTCTCCGGAAAGCAGATGATGGATAAGCCTCGCTGATGCGAATCCCTGACCCAGTTTCCGCAGCAGACTGGCTAAGGAACATGAAAGTGCTGCCGAGTTTGGAGAAAAGGCTCCGCAGGCAGGCCAGGGCATGAAGGCTAACGACAAACTCTGTGTCTCCACCACCACCTTCTACCCTCTGCCCATCCTTTATCCCACGTGAGGTTCTTGGGAAGCACCAATTCATCCCCTGGGTTTGCAAGGAGCTGGCACATCCTTCAACCGATCTCATTTTGGGTATGGAAAACAGGAGATTGGGGGGATGCTAATATTTTTGCTATCCCCTAGTGCTGGGCTGGGGGTCAATGACATCTGGCTGAGAGCCTCCCCAAGCCACGGCACATCGAGAATGGGGGCTGAGATAAAACCTGCTTTATAGCATGAGCGTAAACAGCTCCTGAGTCAGCTGCCCTGGGGGGGTGGAGGCTGCTCCATCACTTGAGATCACTTGGCTCGGTGCTTGATGTGCTCTTCCAAACGTAATTGTTAGTACAGGGGCTGCTTATTGGGTTTCTCTGCGTGCATTTGTGTGGTGGGGAAGATTAATTCTCCCTGCTGCAGGGGTCACTGGATGAGGCCATGCAGAAGGTCTCACTAGGACAGGGGGTTCAGAAAGGTGCAGGGACACCAGACCCTCAGCTCCAACATGAAAGCAAGAAGGGAAATGAGTGCCTTATCCTGCTCCCCCCTGGACTGCCGCATAAATTCCAGTGTTCAGAAACATGTGGCTCCCTCTTGGCCTTGCAACGTGCAAATCTAGGATCTCGCCAAGCGAAAATACTCCTTCAAATGCCTGTTTCGTGCTCCTAGAATATTCTTCAGGCCCAGCAGCAACCTCTCCTCTGACACAGATTTAATGTTAGGAGTCTGTTGGCTCCAGCTCAGCAAAGCACCAGGTCATCGGCCATGCTCACGCATTCATAACTCGCTCCCTCTTTATATCTTATTGGACACTTAGGCCCTTGGGAGACGGCTGTTTGGATCAAGGAGCTGAGTTGGTTTTGTTCCTGTTTGTTTTGCTGGCTGTCCAAATCAATAATAGGTTAAAGATGTCCTGCTGATTAGCCATAACATCCCGGCAGCTCTATTTGTTCTGTCACAGTAGAGATCGGGGTCCTGGGGTGCTAAGGAAAGAGGACACCAGCTCCGCCATGAGGAGAGGCTTCTGGTCTTAAGAAAAGGGGTGTCAAGTATGAAGTGGCCTTAAAAAATGGACTGGTGGCCCAGCTTTCCCCATCTATTAAGGGAGAGATGGCTGAAAAACTGTAACAAGTAGAAAACATATGGAGGGGAAAATTATATGTGAATTGGAGGCCTTGAGTCCAAGAAGGAGGTGTCATGCCCTTGGGAGAGATGTAGGGTGAGAAAGGACAAGCTTGAGATATGTTGTTATGTATGAAACCATGAAGAAGTGACCTCCAGCACCTGAAGAACTGCACAGAAGTTCATTTAAACCTATCAAACATGTGCAAAGCTTCACGTCAGCCCCTCTGCTTTCTGTCTTGCACCCTTACTGCAAACCCAAGGGTGTTCAGATCTCCTCTCTGTGCCCTATTCCCAGCCTCTTGTGTCTGAAAGCATAAGGGATAGCATCATTTTCCACAAGGAATTGGGGCTGCCCAGTGGTCTGCATCTGGCAGGCTCTACACACTTCAGAACAGAAAAAGAAATGACAGATCTGTCCAACTCAATATCTATCTGTGGGCATATATACACACACATAAAAAATGTGTATGTATAAATATTATATGTATGAGGAAGCTTGTCTAGAACCGCAGCATGCAACTTTTCTCTGTCAGCAGGCTTTCCCCCAAGCTGGGCTTACACATGGGGACCAGATGTGGCCATCCGAAAAGATCTGTTCGTTTCTATGCTCCCTCTTTTTCCCCCTCCTGCTTAAGTACAGCATGAGACATATGGGCCAACCATCCATCTGAGGCTAAGTGGAAACCAAGAGTGATTGCTTACAATGCCATAAATAGCTAAATAGCCGTTTTCAATAGTAAATGGGGATATGTGAATTCAGAATGAACTCTCCAAACAGTTTGTAGACATTCCAGTTCCTTGTTTTAATATCTTCGTGCGCCTTTTTTCCCCCACTCTTAGCTCCTCTTGGTGGGAGGTGACACATTAACAATGCTTCCCATGAGCAAGGGGCCCACTCTGGTTATCTAAAGCAGAACGAAATAAAGGCTAGGACTCTTCAAAAGGAGCCCAGCAGAACTGGAGGCCTCAGGCGTCTTGGGAGCCGTATATTCAATTCTTTGAGGGGACCCTGAAAAATCCCATCCGCATGATATTGGCAGTTGATGCAAGGCTTGGTAGATGCATTGCCAGCTTAGAGACTTTGGATTAACTTTCAAAGCTTTCATGAGCTGCCTCAGCCAGCCACCCTTCTTCTTGACAGCAGGGAAAGCCATCCAGAAAGACGAATTCCCACTGCATGGAATGAAACTTTCTGTCATTTTGCTATTTGCTTTTGTCCCACATCAGGAAGAAATGACAAATTTTTCACTGAGTGGAAGTTCTGGTGAAATTTAGAGTCAGAAATATGGAAGCGACCTGATTGAAATGGACTGTTTCACGTTATAGTCTAAACACTGTAAAAAGTTATATTAAACATGGGTGTCAGAATGAAAGACAAGGCTAGACTAACCAACATGAGAAAGCTGGGATGAAGCTTTGGGTTTCAAACTGAGGTTTTGCTGTCCAACTCTGACAAAATCAAAATTCTTCCACAAATCAAGATTTTGGCTGAATTGGAATTTACTGTTGGAAAGCTGTTCTGGGAACTTTAGCATTCTGCCCTAAACACAATTTGCTGTCACATCCATCACATCCAGCACCTCTTTGCCTTCTGCATGCCGAACTTGGGATCCTGCTTTGAGGCTGGCCATGCTTGGAGCAGGAGGTTGGGCTGGAGACCTCCCCAGGTTCCTTCTGACCAACACCTTCTGACCTCAGTGATGCCAACATTTTTGGGCATGGGAAACAGAAACCTTGCTAACAACTAATGGAGGAGGAAGAGGAACTGAAGAGGGGAGAAAAAGCAAGATGGTAGAAGAAATACGGATCTGAACACCCCTTTGGGAACGTGGCAGCCCCAGCTGCCAGAAAGGCACAGGACCAGTGGGCTATGCACCTAATTAAGACATAGATAAGAGTCTTTAATTTTGATCTACAGCACAAGTCCTGCTGCAGAGAGCTGTCCCCTGAGCCCCGCAGCCGCTGGATAAATAGGTTGGGCATTTGGTGTCGTAATTCCAACAGTGCTCGGTATTGGCTCGGCTCTGTTTTATTCAAAGTCAGCGGGAATTGCTGACTGCGAGCCAGCACAGCTCTCACAATCCCTTTCTCTCACTAATTACTTCTGGCTGCCGTGGAAGCCCCAAGGACTTCAAAGGGACGACACTGGATTTGCACGAGACTGTCTCTCTGGATCTTCCACCCCAGTTTCTCAGCCCATGGTGGTCCATAAGGTTTCAGAAGGGGACCCACTAAACAACTGCAGAAAACATTAAAACGCATTATGCGTTCCCACAAAATGCACATTCCCACACACACAAAGGCAAGGAAAATGGAGAGAAATCAAAGGGCGAGATGAACAATAGAAATGCAGCTTTTTTGACTCTTTCTTTTTGGCTGTAAATGAAAAGGCATGTGCACAAGATGGATTTTCGCTCTCCAAAAGGTGAAATGGTTCTTGCATAAAATATACAGAAGAGCATACCCTACACTAAGAGCACGAGGGGATGCTGCAGAGGTGGTCCAGGTCCCCAGGCACTGTCATATGTCCCTAGTAATATGCCAGACTGAAGATAGGCCACCCCAAGCCAACTTTTTCTTTCTTAAAATCATTAGCTTCTCTTCAAGGAGCTTTGTGCATGTCACACCTGAGTGACTGCATCACTGGCGCTTAGCCACTCCGTTCCTGGGGCCAGATTTTAAAGCAAAACAGAGATGTGCTCTTTGGATGGCTCAAGGTCAGGGTGGATGGAAGCCAAGAGCCAAAAAGGAGAAATCCTGGCTCAGGTCAGGTAGAAAAAGCACGTTTTTGGTGCTTTTTTTTGGTGAACAGATTGAAGAAGATGCTTCTCCTAGGGACAGGGGTGCCAGCTTGGGGCAGGGGAGGTTGGGTTGAGAAGTGATGTTCTCCATGTCCCACTGTGAAACACAGCACCGAAAGCACAACAGAAGTGTTGGAGCCTTTAAAAAATATATTATTTATTTATTATTTTTATAGAGCATTGCCCACCTTCTCATGGACTTTTCAGGTGGAAAATAATAACGTATATATGATATTATAATAATATAATTGAAATTTCTTTTTAAGAAAGGCTATAGAGCATGCCTCCAGCACCACTGCTGTAAGCAAGCTTTCTGACGTGTCCTTAAAGAAAAAATTGAGAGGTTTGTTTTTCACCAGAGATAATCATTGAACCATTTAGGAATAGTGAGCCTGTGGCTCTCCTGGGCAATGCCCTGCAGCAGGGGGCAAGGGAGAGATGTCTGCTTGTCCCCAAAGGCTCCTCACAGCCTTGCCATTTCCATGGGGTGTCTTCAGGAGGTGGACAGGAGCAGGGCCACAGTGGTGGCTTTCCACGAGGGAAAGCCCCCAGGGTTTTCCAGCCCCAAGGCTGCATTGGCCCTTCCCAACATGGATGTGCTTTATATACTGTTTTTATAAAGCAGGGATCTTTTACAGCCAGTCAATGAGCCGATGGGATGGCTCCAGACAAAGCAAACAAATAGCAGCATTAGATTTCAGACAAATTCAAGAGCTTTTGGCCAGACTCCCCTCCTGCTTACACCAGCTGTACACTGGGCTTGCTCCATTTGCTCCACTCCCTTCCAATGCCTGGAAAAACTGAGGTTTCCACTAAACTATTAAGAAAGAGGTGATTTCAAACCAGCCAGGCTGATTTGACCGTGCTCATTTGAATGGGTTTTTAGTAACCTTCAGAGACTGGCAATTCGGGTGGTAAACCCTCTTTATGACCTGCTATTACCTGTGCTCTGCTCAGAGGCAGCAGAACTCATTACGGGCGTAAATGGCTGGAGTGCTCCCGCGTACCAGCACAGGCAGCCTTTAATGCTCTCCCTTTTCCTGCTTCTCCGCGATAAAAATACATTACTGGCAAAAAAGAAACAAAAGCCACGGAGTTAGCTGCCAGTTTGCCTAGTGGCTTCTGTGCTTGAGGTTTTATTTTGCTGCTGATGTCCCATGGTTGACTGCAGTAAGTGTACTTATTTTTTAGGAAGACGGCCAGTGTGGTGCACTTTCTGTTTTTTATTTAGCTGCACATTAAATGTTCCCCTTTGCCCCAGGTTTTACAAGGGATAAATTAAAGAGAGCTTTGCAAAACTGGAAACACAGAATGAAAGCAGTTGCCTGTCCATCCTGTAGGGCCAAAGAAACAGCCTCAGGATCAGCCCTATGACATTAATCCAGCTCTCCGGACTTGATATAAATTATGACCATCACAGATCACACAGGGCATGGGAAGTGTAAGCATTCCTCTTGTCAAAAATCAGGGAGAAACTAAGGCTGAAAGGGACCCCAGTTCATTATTCCAGCCTCCAAACTCATGACTGGTTGGATGTCTGTGCAAGCTAATCACCTCCGGTGGTGGAGATCCCTCGATGGCCCTGCACATCCTCTCCCTGTTACAAATTTACTCTCAGATAGGAAAGGTTTGGTATCTTCACCAAGCAGAAGCACCGAGGTCCCCCAGTGTCCCATCCAGCTCCTTCAGCCCTGTGGTATCACTCCAGAAAAGCTCAGCGGCCAGTCCCACGGAGGAGGCCTCCAAGGAACAGAGGCCTCCAGAGGGATTTCCAAACCACCAGGGGGTTTCCAAAGAGCCCGAGGGTCTGTTGATGTGTGGTACAGTGTCCTGGGTGTTGGGACACACACACATACACACCACCACCTTTGTTCTGCCCACCCCATCCCCAGTGCTTTAGCTCAAGGCCGTGGTGCAGCCAAAGGGCCACATGTGTTTAGCCTTGAAGGTGCATGCCAGCACCCATAGCCCACCACCACTCTCATAAACTTCGAAAACGTGTTTCTGTTTTAGGTTTTTGGACCGTGTTATGTCTGGGACAATGTAGTGTCACCTGGCTGGTGCTCTAGGAAAACACAAAAAACAGTTGTGCTTCATGGCCTGACTCCACACCCCACCTGTGCTGGAGTTTCTCTGCAGAAGTGAAAGGAGCAGATAGTTAATACCGAGAGCACCATCTGGTGGGCTGCAGGGCCAGATAACGTGGGCGGCCACAGCTGGGAGCAAGTTTGGGGCCTCAAAACCACCCAGAAGTGCATCAGGTCAGGGGCACCAAACAGCCATGGCCCACTTGGTCCGGATTCCTACAGCCACCGACTGGCAGCCTCAAGGAGAAGGTGGTGTCACCCCACAGCAGTGATCAGCAAACCCACAAAGCATGGTGTGCTCTAAGAACTGTGTGCCATGTCCTCGTGAAACCCCTCAGAGAAATCCCTAGCTGGGATGACTGAGCTCCTAGCCATAAATACCCATCCTTTCAGTGAATATGCATAAAAATCTTAAAATCAGCTGTGGCGTGCCGATGAGTTACATAGGTTTATATATGCAGGTATAGATTCCCCCCCATCTATCCATATTAAATTGACTAATTTGGGCATTACCACCCCAACAGCTTCGTCCAGAGCACTGTGATACCCTGCCAACAAGGCTCTGCGTTTGCTGTACTGAACAACAGTTGGAAAAGGCGACCTTCAACAAGCAGATGAACCCGATGCACATCATACACCTACTTTAAAAACGCCAACCTTTTAATGACCCTTCAGCATAATCCCCAATCTCTCAAGTGCTTTGGGATAGGGGTATCCTCTAAGATGTTTTTGGGCTTTGCTGTGGCTCCAGCAATGTGTTCCCTGCATGCAGGCTTCTAGGAAACATGTCTTTGTAGGTGTTTGTGCAATTCCATCCACCTGGGGCCTCACCTGGAGCCCCTTTAGCCCCTGGGGGCTTTGTGCCCTCCTGCCCGTGTTGTTACCATAAAGGGAGTGGGGAGGTCTCATCCGCTCCTTCCAGCTCCTGCCTCATGTGGGCTCCTTCAGCAGCCGGTGAGGAGGCTGGCAGAGTTTGGGCTGCAGAAATAAGGGGGCTGGAGGGGGAAATGGTTTGCAAATTTATTACATCTTAATGTTCGTCTGCTGAGGGTGGCACCGCCGAGCAGGCGCTGTGATTTTCTCCGGGGCCCTGCAGAACAAGGCCTGTGATGTTCTGTAGCACACTTCCCATGAATTTTTTTGCCATTACTCACTGTGTTTCTACGCAGCCATCAAATATTTCATAGAAAAGTCTCGGGCTCCACAGCCTCGAGATCTGCTGTGTCAGCTCACCCACTTAAATCTGTCAAACGCTTTGTGGGGAGGGGGACATGGCCACACAGAAGGGCTTCTCTCTGTTTTCCTGGGACTAAAAGAACTGCTGTCTTACATATAAGTCAATATATGCGTGCAATGACATGTTTCCAGCCTTGTGGAATCTCTCAGACCATTTCTAGCCTTTATATTATAATATTAATATATTATTATAATATTTTAAAATAATATAATAAATAAGTATTAATAAAATAATATTATAATATATAATTAATATATTTATACTTCTTGTACCATTTACCTGTCATATTTTATTTTTACCTTCTCTTTGCACAGATCTCAAGAAAAGAACAAATAATATCATTGATGGAGATCAAAAAGAAATCTTGGGAGTACTTGACCCTCATCCTGATCCCTGCAAGGACTTCTGCACTCCACGAGCTCTGGCAGCCCCAAGCTGCAGTTTGGAAATTACGTAGATACATGTGCAAATCCTCCCTGGTGAGTAAAACATATAAATAAGTATAACTTATTTATGAGATCAGTGGATGTCAGGTTGCGCACAGCTGCTCAGCTAAGTGTGATGTTCTCCTGATACACAGTCCCACCTTATTTGACTTAATAACCTGAATTAATCTGGGCGTTGCTTGTCCATTAGTAATTTGGTCAATGTGGATTATTCAACAGCAGTGGTTGTGATGCTTTTCCATCAGCTCTCCTGTTTGTGCCCTTGATGCTTACTCTCTGTATGCTCTTCTCTCGGCTGAGGCTACATGGGAGTGGTTCCCACATTTCCACTCAAACTTTATTTCAAACAGGTGTGCAAAGGGAACATATCAGAGAGATTTAAATAGAAGGTGAAGCAGACTGTAAATTTCCATCTACGCTTGGTCTAATTAAAGTGATGAACATACCTGAGACGGAGAATTTTGTTTAGAGTAATCCCCTTATCACAATTGTCATATGCCAGGAAATGTTGGAAACAGAATTTCTTGTTCCCTGTATTCTCGAGCAATCGCGTCTGCCATTTAAACATCAACATTTCTCAACAGCTTTCGGTTTAGCCCACAAAGGTTTCCCACAACAGCTCCAGGCTG